TGACACCTTTCGGTTTCGGCTTCCAGGAGACTTCCTACAGTCACGGATATTTGTCAAACATATGACAAAGTTATGGTTTATAGGGCTTGAGGTTACGGTTAGGTTGGTTTTAGGGCTTAGGCTTTAGCTTTAGGGCTTAGGGTTTGGGGTTGATGGGTCCTCCAGCGCTGGGTTGCCCGGGACCCCTACACGTGAACCCGCAGCATCTTGAAACCACGAATGCCCTAAACGCTAAAGGGCTAAATCCTGAACTCCCAAACCCTAAACCCCTAAAACCCTAAAACCCCGAAACACACCTGCTGAAGCCTATTCGGCTCCGCAATGCCACCCTCCATATGGGTAGTTCGCTAACTTAAGGTCCCTTTTACGGTCCTTGCTGTAAGGGCAGTGCACTATTTCGAAGAATTAGAATGAGGATCCTAATTTAGAAAACTACCCATAATACAGGGGCCTAGATACTTACCTGTACTTTTTGGAGGGTTTAGTGTTACAAACAAGGTATAATAGGCCCCCAAACCCTATTATTGTACTTACTGACCCTAGGTTGCGCAGTTTGGAGACCTTGAAGAGTCACCCTTGAAACACTGAGCTTGCAGGGCTTCGGATTCGTCGCTCGTGCTGCACTGGGCTTTTAAGTAACCAGGGAGAGCAAAGTAGAAGCTTTTATTTCATAATGGTTCCTTTAATAAAAAAAAAGTATGGTACTCCAAAGCCCAGTGCAGGTCCAAGTCGTAGGGTTCAAGCTTCCCCCTTACCCCAAAACCTACACGACCCGTGCCCTCTGGTTTAAGGTTTAGGGTTTAAACACAAACCCCGAAACTGTAAACTCCTAAATCATCGTAAACATTCGCAGCCGCAGCTCCAAGCCTTCTCCACCCGACACCCTACTCCCAGACACGCCAACATCCCTTAGCGAAAGAGCCGCCATGACGGTGAAAAGAGAACTCTTAATGAGGCTTCTCATTCAATTCGGGCCTCTCTGTAAAAAAAGCTGCATAGCAAGATAGCAGTCCGACCTCCACGAAACCCTGGCAAAGCCCAACAGAACTTCGAAGAGTCCTACAGAGATGGTTCTGGCCGTGCTAAGGGCGGCACACAGCACACGACTTCATCGACGGTTTCCTTCAACTTCGTGACACAAGGGATCAGCTATGGAGTACGTTTTCGGGTTGTGTTCGTTGGCCCTTACTCTAAGGTTTCAAATTTTCTGAAAGAGTTTAGGATAGATGGAGCGTGGGACGTGCTTGTTGCCTGCTTCACCCGAAGCCCAAGCCATGAGGGCATCTGCCCAGCTCGGGCTGAGCGATTGCAGCGGTTGGGGTGCAGGGGGTGTCCAATGTTGTTTGACAGCTGGGACACATTCCTTCCTTAACCCGGGGAGTTTGGACGCTCTATCTACCTGATCCCGAGCCCGAAACCGCAAGAGTACGTATGTGAAACCGTCCTACAACAATGCTAAACCTACCCTAAGGCTCCAAAGTAGTTCCGTTTTGGGATTCATATATAGAATCTTTAAGGTAATCCCAAAAAGGAACTACTATTGGGGCCTCTGGGTAGCTTCCAAAAGGGCCTAGTAGTTTGCCGTAGCCGCGAGGGAGAGCGGCGTCCTCCTGTTTTCCAGCCGGCGTTCGAAGAGTAACCAAGAGCCGGCCGTCGGCCTGCGACGGCCATGACATGCCGTACGGTTTAGGGTTTAGGGGTTTTGGGTACAAGGGGCAGTACCTGTCTTCCGCTTTGTCGGCATTACGGTAATTACGCAAGTCAGGATTCCCCTTGTCCTGACTTTCAAGGAACCAGGAAATTGTTGCGGCTTCTGCTTTATGTCACTACGCAACTCAGGATTCCCTAGTCCTTACTTCAAGGGCACGAGGAGAATGATGTTCCAATTTCTGGCTTTATGGCATGACGCAAGTTATGATCCCCTAGTCGTCACTTTGAGGGCACGTTGAGAATGATGATCCAATTTTCTGGCTTCTGCTTCATGGCACTCTGCAAGTCAGGATCCCCTAGTCCTTGCTATGAGAACACGAGGATAGCGATGTTTCAAGTTTCTGGCCTTCGTTTTATGGCGTTGTGCAAGTCAGTGCTTAGATTTGTTCTAACTGTGCATTCTTCTTTCGTACCTTGGGGTTCAGGTTCAGAATACGTGGCTGAAGCGACAAGCATTCTGTTTTGAACTGGAGCGTTTCTGGATCAAGGATTACTGTAGGCTTTGAGGGCTTTGGGGGGGCTTCAAGGCTTCTGGTGCTTTTAGTAATCTAAAACCCTAGACTTACATTTTTGAGGGTTCAGGACTGACCTCTTTCCTGGGGGGGTGTGCTTACGGGTTCCGGGTTTGGGGCTTGCGGCTTCGGGTTTGGAGTTGAGGGTGTTGGGCTTGGGGCTTACGGCATAGGGGATAAGTAGCTTCGCATGGAAAAACTCTGAAGCCCAAAGCCCTCGACCCTTCCCTGCAAAGATGGTAACTGGAAGCCATAAAGTTGGAACATGGATTTAGGAGGATTAGTGCTAGGACTTAAGGGTACGAGGATAATGATGTTCCGACTGTCTGGCTTCTTCTATAGGACAAGAGCCATAACTAACTGGTTTGCTTGCGTAACCAGTACCGGTCATATCCGACTGAATCTTGGCTCCACATGCCTGTAAGTCTATCTATTAGCCCAACTAGCACTGTTCCTTGCAGCATGTTACAGAGCTCGACGACCGTGGTTTGATGCCAAAGCGTGGATTCTCCGGACTCCCCTGCCTAAGGGTCCAAGGACTCCCTGTTATAGGACTTTGGGTCCAGACTGACTACCTGAACCCTTAGGGTGAGAATTTAGGGTTTGTGCTTGTTGGCTCCTATGGTGTCCAGGTAAATGCAAGGTCACGCGCGAAGAATCAAAGCTAAAACAGCCAAATCAAGGGCCCTAAACAAGCTGCGTTTAGGCTTCTGGGTCCAGTCCGGAAGGCCAAGCTAGACTTGAGTCTCCCGAGTGTCCCATATCCCGTATAGGCGTGCCCGTGTCAGTCGAACACTATCCAACATGGCTCGCGAAGCTAGTGATTTGGGGGTTCCAACCAAGACCAAGTTCGTTGAGATCATAGACCTCTTGTGTCCACTTGTTCTCTTCAACCCTGAAACATCAAAATGTTAGGCCCTCAACCCTAAAATTCAAAACACATGCTAAAGCTACCCACCCCATCCCCCCACAACAAAGCACAACTGAACCCTAAAAACTAACCCAAACTGATGTAAACCCTCAAAACTACAATTCCAAACACTTAAACCCTAAACAAAACTGATGTAAACCCTAAACCCTACCCTAAGGCCCCAAAGTAGTTCCTTTTGGGGATTCATATATAGAATCTTTAAGGTAATCCCAAAAAGGAACTACTATGGCGCCTCTGGGTAAACAAACCTAAAATTCCGAAGGCTTCTTAAACCCCCACCCCGAGCCAGTCTCTGCTAATGCCTCGCTCAGGGCCTCCAGGGCTGCCCCTCCTGCATTCCCAAGAGGAGCCTAGGATACCCAGTAACTAAGGCAACTATAGTTATATCTACCTATAACCTTAATTACGGTACTTATAACCCTAGTTACTACGTCCCATGATCCTCCAATTTGGGATTTAGGCTAGGATACCCAGTAACCTAAGAAAAAAAGGCCTCTCTTTTTGGTATTGTGTAACTTTATAAGGAATCTAGGACTACATAAAGGGAATAAGGGTAAAACTTTGCATACATGGGTGGTTGTCAAAATTATCGATCCCTTTAAGGAACCCTATAAGGACCCCCTTAAGGGACCATACTTACTAAGTCCCATGAGGATCCTTTCAGGGTTCCTTTAAAGGGGTCTGGGGGTTCCTGGGTTTAGGGTTTAGAGGGGTTTAGGATTTAGGGGCTTTAGGGTTTAGGGGTTTAGGGTTTAGGGTTTTGGGTGGTTGTCAAAATTGTCGATCCCTTTAAGGAACCCTATAAGGACCCCCTTAAGGGACCATACTTACTAAGTCCCATGAGGATCCTTTCAGGGTTCCTTTAAAGGGGTCTGGGGGTTCCTGGGTTTAGGGTTTAGAGGGGTTTAGGATTTAGGGGCTTTAGGGTTTAGGGGTTTAGGGTTTAGGGTTTTGGGTGGTTGTCAAAATTATCGATCCCTTTAAGGAACCCTATAAGGACCCCCTTAAGGGACCATACTTACTAAGTCCCATGAGGATCCTTTAAGGGTTCCTTTAGGGTTGAGAGGGGTTTAGGATTTAGGGGTTTTAGGGTTTAGGGGAAATATGGGTTATGATCCCTTGTTGGGTACCCTACATACTAGGTGCCGTATTATAATAGGGACCCAAAAAAGGGACCATAATTTTGACAACCACCCAAGAGGAGCCCTACTGCTGGGATCCTTTTAGGGGTTCCTTGAACTGGCTCCTTTAAGGGATCCGTTAAGAGCCCAGGGGGGTATTATAAAGGGGTTCAGAGGGTCTTACTGGGATCCTTCAGGGGCTTCCTTTGAGGGGGTTACTCGCAGATAAATTCGCTGGGTCGACTGGCCTGTGTGGCTGGTGCCGCTACGCCCAGAAGTCAGAGAGCCCAATACCCTTACAGGGAACTCTAGAAAGTTGGAATATGGATTAATGGTAGGATCCCCTATAATTTACCTTAAAGGGGTTACGATAATGATATTCCAACTTTCTGGCTTCTACTGTACTTACTGCAAGGGATGTGGCTTCAAGTCTAGAAGGCTTGACATGATGAAGTAAGACTTATTCTTGAATTTAGGGGTCAACCCTAAACCCTAAACCCTAAACCCTAGGCGTTTGGCCCAGGTCAGTTTCCCTTAGTGGTCACCTGGGTACAAACCCTAGCGTGGCATTAGTTGCCCGCGGCGACGCCAGTGGACCGCAAGAGCGCACTGGTGTCTGCTTTTCCAACTGCCACTGTACGCCTCGCGAGGTGGCTTGTTGTCTGGCCCTACCTTTGGTAGCTGGCTTTGGGGCAGAGTTCCCCCAATTTTGAGATCCGGTGGTGCATGGGTTGCTCCCGGACTTTCTTCTATATCCTCTTCTGCCTTCTGAACCGGCTCCTGGGTGATTGCCACGGCGCGGCCCCGCAAGGGAGAGCCGGCTCTCCACCGGCGCCAGCGCCGCTTCCGTACAGGTGCGCGAACTTTGCTGAGGGCGGCAGTGAGTGGCCTTTTTCGGCCCTCCCAAGAGGATCTTCGCCGAGCTGCAAGAACATTGGCAGGCCACCACTCCAAGTCGGGCCTACCACTGCAGGCTACAGCGATAATGTCGTGGCAATGCACGGCATGCAAGCAATGGGCAAAGGCCACGGCAGCCTTTTGCCCACAATGTGGTACGGCGAGGTACAACTACGCTGGCACAGGTTCAGGGGCCCCATGGTCGGCCGAGCCGGACTATGGGGAGGACGATGCCAGTTGGTGGACGCGGCGAAGACCGAAGTCCCCCAGATCAAGGCCCTCGCAGTCACCGCGACCGCGAGGCAAAGGCGGCCAGCCCCCGGGAAAGCAAAAGGGCAAGCCCAAGGGTGGGCGCGGCCCCAAGGAGAAGCCCCCGAGGAGCGAGCAGCCGAAGCCTCCAAAGCTGGAGGCTTTGCCCACGGCCCCGGAAGCCACCATGGTGCAGCCACCCAGGCCTACGGGTGGTGCTGCGCCCAGCTCAAGTTCCAGCGGCCAAGACCCTCTTCTACGAGCCCTGCTGGCGCACGTCGCTTCACAGGACAATGTGCCAGAGGAGCTGGCCAGCCTGGTCCGGCAGCACTCAGAGGACTCACATCGTGTGCAGAGCAGACAGATGCACAAGATGGTTGCCAGGCAGCAGGAGGCCAAACGGTCTCTTGTCAAGGTGCGCCTCGAGAGGCAGGCGTACGAGACTGCGTGGGGCCAGTACTTGGGGCAGATAGCCCAATTGCTGGAGACGCAGCTGGCAGAGCGAACCAAGGCGCTGGCGAGCTACGACGCCTCGGAGGAGACGTGGAAGACGCAGCTCGACGAGGCCTCGGTGGAGCTGGCAAAACAAGCTTCGCAGACTGCGGACAAGGCTCTGGCTATGGAGGTACAGGAGATTTCCGAAGACGAGATGGATGCCAGGGAACAGCAGGTGCACGAAGCGATTGCGGAGGAGGCAAAGGCGGCGCAGGCCCGCCAACAGCGGGAACAAGCCGATCTCAAGGCGGCCGAGCTCCTCACCGCGATGCAGCAGATGCGGCAAAGCCTCCCCGAAAAGGCGAGGGAAGGCTCGCGCACACCACGGCGCTCTGGCTCGAAGGATCGCGAAACCGAGTCTGGCAAGGTGGAGACTGCTGGCGACTCCAAGGCTGTGCCCCCTGGTGCGGCCCGTACATGAGCCCCTTTGGTCAGTACGGGCCGGAAGGTTTCCCGGGCTGCGGCCTGGAAGGAGTGACTGTGGAAAGTCACTCGATTTGTTTCGAGGACGACTATGTGGGTGTTTGGAGAGCCTCCTTTTTGGCCTTGCAGCTACACCACGAGCTGATCTTCGAAGATCTCGGCCACCTTCTCACTTGGGATGTTGATCCGAGGCTACAGACGGCCCGTTGCTGGGGAGCCGAAACAGTGAGCGACTCTGTACAGTGGGACGTTTTCCTCCCGGTAGGCCCTGATTCTGGCGGCTGTGGGCGACAGCTGGACTGCAGTGCCACCCGGAGGATTGAGTCTTCGGGGATGGGGATCGACGTGCGCATGGGTCCGAAGCCGTCGCTTTCTCCGCCTATCGAAGATTCGTCTTCTGGAGATGGTCCTGGGGTCCCTGTCGACAGGGCAGCCGCAGGATCTTTAGGGCGATGCGAGAGTAGGCTGACAGCTGCCACCGGCGCCATTTCGCCCTCTCTGTCGCAGCTTGTGCCGCCCGAAGCGAGCACAGCCAGGTGTCCAGGTCCGAGTATCCTTCACACCACTCCCCACCCTCTCCCACTGCGAGTGTGTTTCTCCACTGGCACATGCGCCCTTTCGAACGCCTGGAAGCGAGACCTCGGGCGGATCTGTCGTTGTCCAACACCACCCTCCGACACGGACTGCGCTGTTGGCCTCTGCCACGCGCTGCTCTCAACGGAGGTTTCTCCCCGAGGAGCAACAAGGCCCTTCGACTCAGCCGACCTCTCCCTGCTTCCCGTGCCAACCCAAGGGAGTGATAGTGTTAAATGTGGGCGGCTGCCGGCACACAGCGTCTGGCCCTACTGCAAACCTGCCAGTGCTTTCACCTCCCTAAGCCTTCAGATTGCAGCAGCTGTGCCTCTGCGCCCCGCAGAGCAAGATAGGTGGGAGATCCGAACCAGACCATTGCCCGAAGCCCTTGCCGAGAGTGTGCCGATCACAGACGGACCACCAGATGCCTGCGCTGGACCTGCGCAGTATGTGCTCTTCGATACAGAGGGACATCTAAGGGTTCGTCCCCGCGGCGCAATGTGGTCCCTAGATCACCTGGTTTCTGACATCCTTGGGATCTTGCCGAGAACAAAATCCATTCGGGTGCTGACTCGCAAACTGCATGGGCTCCCCAGCCTTCAGGTTGCTGCAACGCAGAGAGATGCAGATGTGGGAGCAGAGGCCATGCCACTTGACCTCAGGGATCTAACAGGCCGTGTCTGCACCCTCCACGTCAGGCCAGGTTTGTTGCAGGCAGAGGTACAGCAGCTCTACCGGGAAACCTGTCCCGCCGACTTCCTCCCTGCACTCCCTTTCAGAGTCGTCACGCCAGACGGCACTGCCTTTGAGGCTGTACCCGGCCAGCTCAGTGAGCTCGACCATTTCCGGGCTACAGTCAATGGTGAATTTGTGCCAGACCGAGCGCTGGCTGCACAGGCCCAGGCCAGGCAGGCGATTCTTGACACATCCACAACTACCACTGAGATGCACGTGCCCGGCCTGCTGGGACGAGAAGGTAGCCTGCAGACTAGGCTCGCTGCCTTCCCGCACTCTCTTCACCAAGTGCGGCTCATACCCGAGAGCCTTTGCGCACACCTCGGGGCGAGACTGCCCGTTGGGCATCTTCGCCTCTTCCCGCATGCCTGCACCGACTGCCGAGCGCAAACTGCGCCCTTTCACATGCTTGTGCGTGGCTTCCCGCCAGTGAGACTCGAGGGTGCTCCCAGTTTCTCCCTTGTCGAGTACTGTGGACTCGCTGCCAGCCAACTAGATGAGGAGGTCCGAACTGTGCAGGTTATCACCACGAGCTTGCCCGGGCTGCTTGAACCCCAAATCGTTGTCACGGCACAAGCTGATGATGTCAGCGGGTTTCTTCTCCCCGTTGATCTGCGGTGCCTCCCAGCTGGAGAGGTGATCCCTGTGATGCTAAGGCCAGACATGACTCACGACGAGCTCCTCGAAGCTGTCTTTCTTGAGGTTCCTGAGGCTCGCCAGGTTTTGCGGGAGCTCGCCGCTCCAGAGGCTACCCACTTCCAAGATGCCCAAGGCCAGATCTACGAACATCTCCCTGAGTGTCTCGCCTCTCTGCAGTGGCTGGTGTTGCGGCTGACGGTTAATCCCTTTGGGTTCCAGGCCCGGCCAGAGGACCCAATAGCCCCGCCGCTAACCTCGACATCCACAACCACTACACAAGCACTCGCGCGAAACAGAGCTGGGCAGACAGTAAGCTTCATCCTTGTTGCTCCGGCCAGGACCATCAGGCTTTCTCCTGTGCGGCTCCAAGAAGCAGATCCCACTGGAGCAGTCATTGAGCTTGTGCAAGCCGCTGCAAGCATGGGATTGCTCGGGCAACCTTTCCAGCTTCAACTGCCCCCCGCTTTGCCATGGACAACCAGCCATCAGCACTTTGTGATTCCCTTGCTCCTGACACACCCAGGTCAGGCTCCGACGGTCTTGTACGACCCGGGGCTGGATGGCACGCAAATTCATAGCATTACTGTCGGAGAAGGAGCACTTGGCGAAGAGCTGTTGACTGGACCCTTGCGACGCCAAGGTGCCTCAATCTATGTCAATGGAATCCATGTCAATGGGATGCGCCGAGCCTTGCAGACTGGGGATCTTGTGCAACAGTTGGGGCCACAGAGATATATTGGCACTGTGCGTAATGTTGGTCCACTCCTGGCCCACATTAGTCGTCTCCGTTGCCTGTCCTTCCCCCTTGCCCTTCCGCCATTTGGCCTCTTCGAAGGCCCAAATGGGCCTTGTGTCGCCCCACTGCATGGGGTTGCGAGCATGCAAGAGCTTGTCATCAATGCTTTCGAGCGTCGGCTGGACAGGCTCGGGCGGCCGGGTGCTGGCAAAAAAAGCGTCTGGGTGCTGCAGCCTGCCCGTGCGCCGCATATTCTGTGGCTCGACATCGCCACCACGCCAACAGTGCAACAAGCAACGCCGTTGCTTCAGGCCACGGGCTTGTTCCCGGATGACACCACAGTCGTCGAAGCAGACTACGAGGCCAACACGCTTGTCATGGACTCGTTTCTTGCTCTGCCAACTGCGGCACCTTATGTTACGTGCACTCTGGCGGATCCCTTCGCGCCGACTCACTTGCTCCTTCTGCACCCGACACCAGGAGCCGAGCCCCCTTTCAGCTCGCTGCCCCTTACACCGCTCATGCGTTTTCTCCCTGTTGGGGCGGCATCTACTGGCATGCACTTGCTGACCATTCGTGGACCAGTGATCAGCCCCAGCCTGGCTGGCGAAAGTACCGCCCCCGCAGCGGTTCCTGCCGTGCAGGACGAGCCGCCTGCTGAAGAAGCTGAAGAGGAAGCGCAAAGCCTGAGTCTGCTGCAGCATCAAGTTGTCATCCGGCGCGGAGTGCTTCCCCCAACTGGCGCTGCCGCTCCTACCGCACCCGCTCCGTCCCCACTCTGCTCCGCGACCGACTCTGTCCCCGGCTGCAACTCCCTGGATCACCAGGGCCCGGGAGTCGGTCAATCAGGTGATACGGCTCATAACAAGTCTCCTGCGCTCCCAGGACTCGCTGTTGTGACCCCCTTTGGTCGGAGGCTTCTTGGGGCGGCGGGTGGTATGAAACGCCCACCTGGCGTGATCAGCCTCAAAGATGCTCTCTCCGCTTCCCCTCCACGTGAGGACCGGCAAAGCGGCCCCACTTCCAAGGGTGCGAGCCCATCCATGCACTGCTTGGACAGCCTACGTGCCCTTTTGCCTGTCTTGGAAGACTGGGCCGCCTGCTGGACCACTGCTCCACCCTTCCGGGTTTGTGGTGCCGCAAAGGCTGCTCTATCTGGTCGACACGCTGCTGGGGCCTGGCCCATCTCCGAGCTCCAGCTCTTCACAGACGGATCTTTCATGAAACCTGGACACTTCGGATGGGCTGTCACTGTCTTTGAGAAGTGCTATGATGGGTATGGAGAGTGGTTGAACTTTCTAGGTTACTTCAGTGGTTCTCTTCAGCCCTGGGCTGCCAAGGGACTCTGTGGGACCGATGATAACATAGATGCTGAAGCGGTTGCCTTCTGTGTGGCTACACTGTGGGCCTCGTCCTGCCCGCCGGACGTGCCCCTCAGCATCTGGTCTGATTGTCAGTCCGTCCTGCAGGTCGTCACTGGCCTAGCCGATTGTCAGCGACAGGGCAACACTGCGCAACTGCTCTGCCGCACGAGGCACCTCTTCCAGGCCCTCCAGAGGCGTCCCCGCCCTGTATGTGCTGCCTGGGTACCGAGCCATGTGGGCCTCCCGCCCAATGAGCTCACTGATATCATAGCCAAGTTTGCATTCCAAGAAAAGGCCAAGCCGCTCCCCGAGAAGGTCTTCAGGTTACTGTTGGATCCGACCCTAGGCTGGCTGTGGCATTTCTTATGGCCGGCGCCCTCCTTGCCACCGCTTGCTGCACTCGTTGAGGGCAGCTACGAGTCACCCGACTCAGTGCCGCTGTCATGTGTGCCGAGCGCCCTCCCGGTACACGGCCGGAAAGAAGGGGGCTCCAAGCTGCTGCACCTGTGTTCTTACAACGTGCAATCGATGCGCGGAAAAAAGGACATCCTGCGGGAACTGTTTGCGGCAAAGCAACAGCACATCATCTTCTTCCAAGAGACGCGTGCTAACGATGGTTGCTGTAATGCGCAAGACTACTACGAGGTGCGCGGGCCAGCGCATAAGGGTAATCTAGGGTGCGCTATCTGGGTTGCAAGGTCCTCTCCTCTTGGCGCAATAGACAAGCGGCATGTCAAGGTGCTCCATGCGGAGCCCCGTCTCCTTGTTGCACGGCTCAACGCACCCCGGCTAAGCTGTTACCTTGTCAGCGCCCATGCGCCGCACTCCGGATGCACCTCTGAGGAAATCCGGACATGGTGGGAGGCCACTGGACTTAAAGTTGGCGCTCGTTGCACCGGCCGCATCCCTGTCTTCTATGGCTGTGATGCCAACGCGCAGCTGGGACAGGTTACTGGGCCAGGCATAGGGGCGCATGCTGCCGATGTTGAGACCTACGGGGGAGAGATGCTCCGCTACCACTGCGCGACACATGCCCTCTGCGCACCCTCCACCTTCGCTGGAGCACGAGGGCTCTTTGAGCATGTGGACCCATCTGCTTACACCTGGGTGTCGCCGTCCGGGGGCAAGTATCGCTTGGACTACCTCCTGCTTCCCCAGAGCCTATTGCCGGCTGTCAGATCATGCCAGGTCTTCCATGATTTCGACGATGGCGGGCCCGATGATCACTTCCCAGTCTCCGTGACTCTGGTTATCGCTGGATTACCTGAGGGTGCCCCCACTTTCGAGTACCCACGGATTCGGCTGCGCACGGTACAAGAGGTTCGCGATGCACAAGTTCCGGTCCATGATGCTTGCCAGGCCCTTGCTGCTCATCCATGGTCTGGAAATGTGCACGAGCAT